GCATGCCTACAGAAGGAGATGAGGGGGATGCTGCTGGCAGGGGACAATACAGCAGAGAATGTGAGTGCACTGTCTCAAACCACGAGCTTCGTGTAAGCCTACAAATGTGTTATCCAGAGATGGACAGAAAATCCAGGCTTATTTCTCACTGAAGAGCAACCGTGACACCGACTTGGAGAGCACACACACACTGCCTTTGACCCCAACCTCGTCTTTTGTGGGATTTTACCCAAGTGTCCTGATCTTTGGTGTTGCTGCTGCAAAGGGACAAGAAGCACCATCATCAAGGAAAAAGCAGAAAGCTTTGGCCTAGGCATACTGCAACTGAGAGTATTCCCCAAGCCTCAGCATTTGGCAGCTGTTTCTCAGAATCAGACCATACTCTTCATTTAAAATAAATAACTTCTTGTATATTTATTTAGTTGTGATCATGTAACAGGTAAAATTGCCAGGGATAGCAAGTAGGAGGCAATCAAAAAAACCCCTCACACTTACAGCTACAATTCATTCTGTCTTTCCCCATTTATTCAGAATTACTCCATCACCGACAGCCCTGCACAGGAAATTCTTGGATAAAGAAAAGGTGGTACCTATCTCCTACAAAGATCACACTTGCTGTTATTGAGGGGGTTTTGTGCAATTTAAAAAAAAAAAAAAATTAGATTTTCTTAAAATCCCCATGCATGGGCCAGGAAGTTGAGCAAGGGTGGTGTGAATCAGAGGAAACACAGGTGCCCCTGGGACAACACCCAGAAACCAACTTTCTGTGCAGAAAGTGCCTCTGAAATCACAACTTCTATGCAGTGGGAAGTGCAAAAGTCATCTACGAGGGCAAGAGGAGAAAAAGACACCTCCTTACCCATGTGTTCCTTCTTGATCCTACTTCTCCACATGTAGCCCCTGAAACACCCGTAGTAGATACTTGGCCATACACCAGATCTCTTCTTACTTTATTCTCATCCAGGTAGCAGGAAGGGGATGCGTTTTGAGTAACAGTTCTCCAACAATACAGTTGTCCAGGCAATAAAGAGGGGTCTGCTCCCCCAACCACTCAATCACTGCTTGAAATAAAACACTCAAGAAAGGGCTTACGCTACGCTGAGGCACCCTTCCAAAATACGTGCACAAAGTAATACATTCTTATAATTTGTGAGGCTTTTTTGAGAGCAATTTCTGGCCTTAATCAAGTATGTGACAGTAGTTCCCCCAAACAGAAACCAGGCAGTCCCTTCACATTCCCTAGACAGGTTTTTTTGTGCACACATTGTCTTTTATAGCAAGTCTTCAGTCTCTGCTACATGCACTGTTAAGCATCCTATGTTTTAAGTACAAAAAGACAATAAGAACTGGATTAGGTACCATCTGATGAAATTCAGTAGCTTACATTAAGCAGATCAGCCTGTGCAGACCCCACAGTCCCTTTTTAACACTGCTATTGATAGATGTAGTGCTTTTCCCACACTAAGCTAGTTTTTTGACATAGTATTACCCAGGTCAGAAGATCAAAGCCTCCTCAGATTAAAAAAGAATAAATACATAAACCGTGGCTTTCTGTTCAGCAAAACACTTGCTTAGAGGCAAACCTGCCACAAACAAGTCTGTAACATCCACTTAGTACCAAAAAATCTCATCACTGAGGATGATTCATTATATATGGTAATGGTAAAATCTGAGCAAACAGCTCCCCATTATCCCCCTGATGTGCACCTGGGAAAAAAACCCCAAATTTTCCTGACACTAGAATTCCTCCTCTCAATTCAAGCCTTTGAATCCAAGTTATACAAGAAGTATTTTTAAGTGTTTACACCTATGAAAACCAACAGAAGTTGTGTTTGTATGCTAGAGTAAGAAACTAAATCACAGTAAGCAATGCCATCAACATAGTAGGTCTGAACCTTGCCTGTACTTCATTAAACCTTAAATTTAAAATTAGGCTCCAGAAGATAAACTGAAGTAACCCATCACAGAATCTCAATGGAGACAAGTGTGGCAGGAAAAGCTGGTATTGGAATGGTAGCACAGGCAAGAGTTTGGATTAATTGTAATGTGAAACTGAACCTAAACTGTACACTGCTGGGGGAATGGATAGTCCTACCCTCCTGTCTGCTCTACTGCTTCAGATCAAGCAAACATGCCAAGTCCAATTATTTGGCTAATTGACCAAAAACAGTGGCACAGGAAGTACGTGTGTGAAACACACTGGTTTTAGTCATATAAAAAAGTGGATTCAAATCATTAAGTGGTCACAAAATCCCATGAAAGTCAGAGGGCAGGAATGCATGTCCTGAGACAGTAACCCCAAGTTACAAAATGCATCCCAAAAATTCACCAGCATAAGAGACTATTAGTGAGACTTAAGGAGAAACAGTTACACTTGGCTCTCCTTCCTCATCATGGTGGCATTACCAACTTCAAGTAGGTGGTGCAACCTGTCATAGGGCAGGCATTAATGAATCTGGCCCCTGGATTAGGATCACCTAATAGCTACTGCCAGGTGGGATAAAGGGCTGAAGGAACATAGCTCAGACATGCATCACTTAAAATGTAGGTACACTAATATTAGTTACTTCATATTCAGCAAGTTATTTTTCTAAACAAAATCTGAAGTGCTGGGTTTAAGCTCCCCGTTACACAAGCTCTCAAGAACCACCAGTTGAATTTGATAAAGCCTCACAAGATTGATCTTGTGTCTGAAGTTATTTCCCACTACTTTAATTTCCCACTGCATTAATTTTTGGCTCTGGTAAGCAAGTTGGCTTTTTGTGTTGCTAATATAAGGCAACCAACTTAAAATAAGGTTTTGTATTTACTCTTGGGAAAACAGCAAGTAAATACAGCTGTTAACATATAAATCTAAAACAAAGACTTAAAAACCAGCTTATCACATACACATTGTAAAGGACTTCACAAAAATAATTCAGAAATTGAGCTGTGGACATATATGCCTTAAAGAGATGTTCAACTTTTGAATATGATTGTTACTGACAAGGATCCACTTCACATCCATCCCTCCACCCAATACAGTTAAACTCCTCCACAGAATTATGTCCATATGACCACAACTTGTTTCTAGTATTCAAAATCTCAGCTCTAACTGAATTGCCCAAGAAATAGTAGAATTGGTATAGGGAAAAAAAAAAGGAGGTAAACTATTTTAGAAACTGAAGTTTCTTGGCATCAGTATAGACACAGAGAGCTAATCACCAACAGGATTCACGTGGCATCTCTAAGAGCACAATTCTCAAAAAGGCCAAGTTTATCCCTGAACTGCAGATGTATCACTGCACACTGAAATATTGTCATCTGCATACATTCCTGATCACCTCATCTTTCATTAGGATTTCTTCTCCCTTGAACAATTTAACTGCATTGACAGCTAAACTGGGATATTCCTCTACCCAATTCTCTCTTTTTAAAGAACTCAGTATTTAATTTGGGTAGCAAAATCTCTATTTTTGACTTCCCAATATACCTAAGAGAGAAAAAAATCAAGTTGCTTATCAATACTTCAATTCCAGGTTATTAAACAGAAACAACAACAAAAAATATCTTTTTATGTAAGTGCTTGCAGCACTGTTGATTGACAGGTGAAACAGAATTCTGAAGTACAGGACAAAAGAAGTAGTGAATTATATTGAAATGCATTTATAGCAAGTTTAACAAGGTTGTTATCAAATAGCTGATCTAAGATGTCACTTCTGTCTAAGTCTCCATTGCTCACCTTTTCTATTTCTGTTGTCCGGGGTGCTCCAAGACAAGTCTTCCTTAATTTTTAGTTGATAGCTATGAAGTGCTTGGCATCAAAAGGATGTGATCACATTTCGTCTAGCATAAGTCTTCTCTGTGACAAGCTACTCCATTTAAATAGACTTTACTTTGCACAACCCTGGCAGACAGCATTCATTACTAAAGCTGAGCAAGTTATGAATAATGTGATTTATTCTGTAATTTTTGGCTCTGTGTTCAAGATAGCAAAACAGATAATAATATCTCTATTAATCCTCTTTGGAAATCTTCAGACAAATTCACTCGTGTTTAGAGCTCACTCAAAACCTCTTGAAAGAAGTTAGCAGCAAATAAGCTCTGCAGGAGTGTTAGCGTAGAGGTAAAATCTGTTCACCACCCACATATCTTCTATGTAACTCATTTCATTATCTGCAAGGGCTATCAAGAAGTGCAGCACATAACTCATTTCCAGACTGGTCAATCAGAATCCTTAAACAAGTTTCAGGGGAAAAATTGAAACCAAATTTTTACAGGACATGATTTCAGCAGTAAATTTCTCCACATGAACTTTCATCAGCAATTGGGAGGGGAATATAGAAAACCCAGTAAGTTTTAAATGTGTGATCCTGTCTAAGTACTGCTTCTGTGAAGAACTTTAACTATTAAAAATGGTACAGAAGTGTGTTTTTGTTTGGAGTGTACAAACTGAAGCGAATCACATGTGGACTAAGCTCTCAAAAATGTCAGAGGGTGTGACTGAAACAGAAAGGCAGTCAACCAAAAAATGAACACCTACAAACCAAGAAACAAAGTAGCAGAGTGCAAAAGGGTTAAAAAAAAAATACTCAAGAAAAATAAAAACTCAACCCCCAAAACACATCAGAAAAACCCAAAGCAATACACTCCACCACTTATACCATACTAAAAACCCATGAAAACCAAAAATGCTTCCAAATTCAGCACTAAGGAAGAAAGGAATCTAAATGGTAACAAATTGCTTTCTCTTAGCACTGTAGCTTAGCTAGAGCTCGGTTCAACTCCAGACTCTACCTGGTACTACACTCCCCAAATTTGCTTTCATGTGGAGCAGCCAGAAATTTTACACCCTTACAAAAAACCCTCAGTACTTCAGCCAAGGTAGCATCCCCAGTGTTTCCCAGATCTGCTCTAAGCATTTAGGCCACGCATTGAAGAGAAAAAGGGAAAGGAAGGCTGGGTACTTTTTAACCAGTATAGCCCATGTGTAATATTTAAAAATCAAGACTAAAAGCAGGCATCATTTAATGTATTTTAATAGCAAACTTACAGGAACAGCACAGAAGACAGACAACATTAAAAACATGTACTTGCATGTAGGACAACTCAGTTAGAAAAGTATAGTGAATGGATGGAATCTACTGTATGATAAAAATGCTACAAACACCATTTAGTTGCCATTGATAAGAAATTTACTTGTTTAAAAAAATCCAAATGCTGGCATTGTCCAGAAAAATTTGACAGGTTTATTTATAATTATTTTTTTTTTTATAAAGTTGTTTTGGTGAACAAGTTTCAACAATTCATTTTTCTTTTTTTGACCGCATTTTGATAGTTTTATGTCCCCTCGTTTATATTAAAAATCCACACACAAATGAAAATGGAAAGAAAACTTGCCAATACCCAATTCTGTCCCCTATTTTTCCACTTGCAACCATATACTTAAGGTACCTTTTAACCCCATGGAAAAAATATCTAACGTTCATTACTACCAATAACAGGAAGAAGATTTTGCTTCGAGAATGACAAACCCATCTTGGTGAAGTTTAGGCACGCTCTCCACGTATGCGGCGTGCTAGCTGGATATCTTTTGGCATGATTGTGACACGTTTGGCATGGATAGCACACAGGTTGGTATCTTCAAACAGGCCAACCAAGTAGGCTTCACTTGCCTCCTAGTGTGGAAGAAAAGAGTTAAGAACACTTTGACTCTCTGAGCACCAGGAAAAGACAAAAAAACGTAATTAAGAATTAAAAGTACAGTGTAACATGGCATAAAGTTTAGGTTTCTCTCCTTATTACTCACAAACATCAAAAGTTTTAGATTTTCAAAAATTAAAAGCCTCCATTTTCTTATAAACCATCAAATACACTACGTCAAAGTAGTGTATTGCTGCCATTTGGTGAAGACATCCTCCAGAACACAACTGAGCCAATATTCTTATGGGACTCTCACAAGATAAGGAAGGGGTTATCTTATCAAATGGTTAGTTTGTTTAGGAAATTCTCTTTTCAAAGGCTGGGTTACACTATTTGAGTGACCTGCTTGCTGCCTCTACCAGAGTAAGAGTTACTGAGCATCAGGTGCTGGGGAAAAGAAGAGCAGATATGCCTTCAAACCACACAGTTTGAGCACAGAGCTCTGGCCACAGGATACTGAAGACGTGGTTTAATTCAAAAGTCAAAAATTAGCAGAAAAAAATGAACTGAGAATTACTGGAAATAAAAGAACAACTACTTTAGCTCAGGAACTCCTTGAACCACCAAAAACAGGACTGCAGTCAGAGAAGTACCATTAGACACTTATCCTATTTCTATACTTTCTTCCTGCCTTCCTGTCTATTTGGGGACACAGTACAGGCCCCCACTATCTCAGGTTTTCACCTCACAGCTGTGAGACTCAAGAGGGGCAGCGCCTGGGAGCGCAAGAAGCTCTATCCTGGGAAAACCACAACTCTGGCCATCATGTTTTCCCTGTTACTGAACAACTGTAGACAGGATTCCAAGTCAGACAGATGCTCAGTTGGACCTAATTATTCTGACTCACGTTAAGTTAGCTGCTGTTAAGCCCAGCACAGCAATGTTTACACATTTTTGGGTTGACACAGAATCAATCTCCTAGGAAGCATCTTAGCATGCCAGTATCAGACCAGGACACAGCAAACAGCTGTGAGAAGACAGGAATGTTGGGGGTCACTTATGGAAAGGAGGCTGAGGTCACCCTTTCTAGAATACCTGCAAGAGAACAGGTTGTGTGAACCACTTCATTACCAAGAACTGCAAAAATCAACTTACTAGGTTCAAAGACCCTGTTTAAAAACATAGGATTATCTAATATGAAGAGAGAAAAATATTTACTAAGGCAGATGCTGACTGTAGCATTAGTAAGTCATTTCACATGCAGTAGCCCTAACAAAGTTTTGCTAAATCACTACATGAAAAGTTAAGACACTTCACCAAAAAGCCATGTTGGCACAAGTAACATGGTACCCAAGGGGTTAAAAGTTTTTGGGTTTGTTTTTTGGAGGTTTTTTTGCAAATATGCAAGCAGGAAGCCCTAGGAATAATATGTGACAAAGTCCTATACCAACAACTCCTTAGTGCAAAAGCAGGAATGTTCAAACCTGCCTTCTGAAAATGTATTAACTACAAATTTTAATAAGCAGTTCTAGATAAAAAGGCACATAGGTAAACCTCAGGATTTAAGAACTGCCACACAGAATAACTAAAAGCAAAAGCAGCAACTCTGCAAATGCACACAGCCACCTTTTGAAGCTGAGCATGTGCTCAAGTTTATAGGATCTCATGGCATATGTCTTGGCCCTTTATCAAGTGGAAGTCATTAACTAGAAAGAGACCATTTTGCCTGTATGTCAGACAGCCTACAATTATAGATGGGTTCTGGAACAATCTTTCAACAGCTAAAAGAACAGTAAAGACCTATCTTTAATCAGGAGTGTCTTTTTATCATGAGAGGGAAACATTCCCATGATAAGAACTGAGTCTTGCGGGGGGCCCTAACTTCGATTGAGGAATTTGGGGCCAGAAAGAGCAATTAATATTTCACTCTCTGTACACTCTGAATAAGTTATATAACTAATATATTTAAAAAATGTGTTTAGTACCAACTACATCATACAAAAGCACCTATTTCCCTAGCTGTGTTTAGATGTGGCTCACCGAGCTGCTTTTCTTTAAAGAGCATTTGAGGACACCAAGGGCTCCATTAGGACACACCAGAATGAGCTTTATATGCCGCTTTCCTCTCAGACTGCAGAGCTTTCAAAGGCAAAGCCTCTAGCAAAGCTCAAGGATGGAGGAAGCACGTTTTTCTTAAGTGTCTTAATAAGATGCACTGGTCTAACTGCTTGAGAGGTGGGGGTTATTTAAAAATAAACCAAGACAGCCCCCCCAAAAAACACATTTACAGCCTTCGTAAGGAGCTGCTGACCTGTCACTGCATTATTTCAGCCTGTGGTATCCATAGGCATCACCAGGTCCACTCTGAGCAAGCAAGGCGAGGCTGAGGTGTGCAAACCCCCCCACCCCGGATCAGCCCCGCCCCAGGAGGGGCCCCGCCCACCACAGCAGCCCAGCAATCAGGCAGAGCCGAGACTAACCCTGGAAACAGCCTGGCCAATGGGGGTGGGAGGCGGAGCCCTCCTGCACCGCCAGCCCCCGGGTCCGGGGGGGCTTTGGGGGATGCCTGGCTGCGATGGCACTTCCAGCACTGACTCCTGCCCTCTGAGCCACCCCCGGGCTGCCCACTGCGAGCCCCCTCGGCAAGGCTCACCTGCAAAGCACCGATGGCAGCGCTCTGGAAGCGCAGATCTGTCTTGAAGTCCTGAGCAATTTCACGCACCAGACGCTGGAAGGGAAGTTTGCGGATCAAAAGTTCGGTGGACTTTTGATAGCGCCTGATTTCACGCAGAGCCACAGTACCCGGCCTTTTAAAATTAAATAATTAAAAAAAAAAATTAAATTATTAGTATTCAAACATATTCTGCATCACTTTAAAAATACAGGTTCACTATCCAGACTAAACTAAGCCCCACACACTTTGTTTTCCCTAGGAGAGTCCAAGCATTACAACACGAAACCAGTTCGTTGGCAAGGGGCCACTGTCTTCTCACCATCAATCTCTGCCAGCCTCCACTGCCCTCAACAGGGATCCCCCAGGTCAGGCAGACTCATGAGGCCCTTGAGCCCTGATTTCCCCGAGAGGTGGACAGCACATGCTGGCTGACACCAACACAGCTCAGTGCAGACGTGGCAAACGGCAAAGCTGTCATGAGTTCAGCTGTACCACAGGTACCCTCACAGCAATCAGCCTGACAGCAAGCACAGTTTTAAGGGAAATCTGAATCTTCTTCCTTACTGTCAATATTCACAGAACTAACAAAAATTTACATTCTGTGTTATATTATCAGTACAAAGTACCCGGCATATTTCCTTGTGTTAAGTTTTGGTGTTAGAATGACAAATTTAGATTAACAGCATACTCTCACAGACACAAAGTCCATCTGTGAAATTAATACCACACTTATTTCTGTGAGAACTTTGTATTTTCCTGCTTCAGCTTAATTATCTTTTTCGCAGTGGATTAATTCTGCCTCACACCTACAGCAACAGACAGAATCACAGAATGGTTCAAGTAGAAAGGGACCACAGTGGGTCATCTGGCCCAACCTCCCTGCTTCAGCAGGGTTCCCCCAGAGCAG